TCCGTGTTTTGGCTCTGGCTAGCAAGAGGTATCCCGCTGATGTTGAAAAGGGTGCGGAGGTTCAACGTACTTCGGTTGAGTCTGAGCTTGTTTTCCGTGGTTTGATCGGTCTTTACGATCCTCCTCGTCCTGAGTCCGCTGTCGCTGTACGCCAGTGCCACGAAGCTGGTATTGAGGTCCATATGTTGACTGGAGATCACCCCGAAACCGCGAAGGCCATTGCGATCGAAGTCGGCATCCTCCCCTCTCCAGACCGCTACCGCAAGATCTCCGGCGACATCGCCAGATCCCTCGTAATGACCGCCTCTGAATTCGACGAGCTCACCGATGACCAAGTCGACGAACTCGCCGTCTTGCCCCTCGTCGTCGCCCGCTGTGCCCCCAGCACAAAAGTCCGTATGATTGAAGCTCTCCACCGCCGCGGCCGCTTCTGCGCCATGACTGGTGACGGTGTAAACGACTCCCCCTCTCTCAAGCGTGCCGACGTCGGTATCGCCATGGGTCAAGCTGGATCCGACGTAGCAAAGGAAGCATCCGATATCGTTCTCACAGACGACAACTTTGCCTCTATCCTCGCTGCTATTGAAGAAGGTCGTCGTATCTTTGACAACATTCAAAAATTCGTGCTTCACGTGCTCGCAGAGAACGTGGCACAAGCCGGTACTCTCCTTGTCGGTCTCGCGTTCAAAGACCGTACCGGTCTCTCTGTCTTCCCTCTTGCTCCCGTACAAGTCGTCTGGATCATCATGGCTACCTCCGGTCTTCCCGATATGGGTCTCGGATTTGAGCGCGCTGTCCCCGATATTTTGAACCGACCGCCCCAATCCCTCAAGACGGGTATCTTCACGCTAGAGTTCCTCGTCGACATGATCGTATACGGTCTCTGGATCACACTCCTCTGTCTCGCCAGTTTCGTGCTCGTAGTCTTTGGTTTTGGCGACGGAGAACTCGGCCAGGGCTGCAACGAAACCTACTCAGAGTCCTGTGAACTGGTATTCCGAGCCCGCGCCTGCACATTTGCTTGTTTGACGTGGTTTGCCCTGTTTTTGGCATGGGAAATGATCGATATGCGCCGATCCTTCTTCCGCATGCAACCCGGTAGCAAACGCTACTTCACGCAATGGATGATTGACGTGTGGAGGAACCAGTTCTTGTTCTGGGCGGTCATGATTGGCTTTGTTACGCTGTTCCCGCTCATCTATATCCCGGTGCTCAACACAGTTGTGTTCAAGCATGCGCCCATCGACTGGGAGTGGGGTATCGTGTTCATCGAGAGTGGAATCTTCTTTGCCGGTATCGAGTCCTGGAAGTGGTGCAAGCGTGTTTACTTCCGTCGTAAGGCGGCAAAGAACGGCACTGGCAAGGTGGACAAGAACATGGAGATTGAGGACCGTGTGTTTGGAAGGTATTACAGTAGTAACTCTTCCACCGCGGGTACCGAGGATATGCAAGAGAAGGATAAGGCTTAGATGGATGTGTGTTCAGGGAAAGGCTCAAGCGGTGAGGCGGAGGCGAAAGAGACTGTGTCCTATTGTATCGCGAATGCATAATAGAAGCATGACTATGATGTGGTTGCAGGTTGTGTCTAATCCGGCAGCCTGCAACGAGTAAAAGTTAGTTTATAGTTTATAGAATGTCAATGAATCAACGATATAACCTTACGATACACACTTTACAAATTTCCTGAACATTCACTTTTTGAGCACACCACACGCACACATCACCATGATTGCCCTAAGCAAACCTGTAAGAGTACATGTCACATACGCCGCTCATGCATGACGTCGTTCAAACTTACATACAATACCGATCAGCTGTTTGGAAGTCCGTCCGCTAGACAAGCAGCGTTGAGCCGAGCCGAGCCGACGACATGGGCAGTTGAAATCCGGCCAAGCAAAATATCGCAATACAGACGAATCCTTTGGCAAAGCCCTGTGTGACAAATTTTATGGAAGATGCGTTCTAAAAACAAAGAGAGTGGGAGGGGGTGGTGCGGGTAGATGGGCATGCTCTCGAATATTCAGTACTCAAGTTGCGTGCGGGATTAAAACAGTACATATGTAGATCTATGCGGCATTTTCTCCTCCCCTCTCTGCTTCCTCTCAACCCCTGCTTAAGTAAAACACTCGGGTGACATGACATACTCAACGCCCTAGTACGCAAGAATCATTGTAGACGTCAGACACACCCTATTGAGAACAGAATACCAGATGTTTTACCCACACCATCGCTGTCACCCCTCCCCTCTCACCCCTCCCACCCCCCTTCCTAAGCAAACTCAACCCAATTTCTCAAAGTCCCCACCTCAGGCCAAATCCTAACCTCAACCACATCCCCCGGTTTCAAAAACTGCGGCTCTGCCATCGCATACCCGACCCCCGCACAAGTCCCCGTCATAAAAACCGTGCCCTTCTTCAACGTCGTCCCCTGACTAAAATAACTCACCAACTCCTCCACTTTGAACAATAAATCCTCTATCCCACTCTGCTGTCTCACCTCGCCATTCACCGTCGTTCGCAACTCCAACCGGTTAACATCGCCGACGACGGCGCTGTTGACGAGTTGGGGGCCGAGCGGCGCAAAGGTGTCGAAGCCTTTGCTGAAATTCCACTGCGGGACTGTGCCTGCGAGGAGGGGGTCGCGTTGGAGTTTCCGCGAGCTGACGTCGTTGCCGGCGAGGTAGGCGCCGATGTAGGAGCGGGCGGAGGAGGCGAGGACGTCTTTTGCGTCACGTGAGATGATGAAGCAGAGTTCGCCTTCGTAGTCGGCTTGGTTGTCCTGGGCGATTTTTGGGATTATGAATGGGGAGGCGTGGTCACTGAGGGAGGTGTTTGCTTTT